CTCCCATCGTATTTCTATTTGAATCTTACAAATTATTAAGTTACGATTTAGCAATCTAGAGTTAGTAGAAACAACATTGTATGCAAAGTAAATTAGTAATACCTAGCTACTCCGTACATATGTTAATATTAAATAAGAGTATAAGTATGTGATGTTATAATTTATATCTTATACATATTATTATATTAATATATTTTATGAAAAAATGTTGAACTCTTCTCTAAGTTTTTACTTATACAATCATACACATTTAATATTACATACATATTTTATTATAACCTATATGATTCTTCTTTTCCCTCCCATAATTTCAAGTGATGCGCTTCTAGAAAATCCTAATTTAATAAAGAAAAATATGTATTTTACTTTTACTGCTAAAAAAAATATTTTTCAGTCAAAGAACCAAAACCGGGTTAAAGATAATAGCTTCGATCGGAATCTGAATCAAATTAAGAAGCATACAATTTCCTTGAATAATTGAATTACGTTTTGGCAATATTATATTGTAATTACTTATTACAATTTGTATAGGAAAAACTTATTTGTAAACAAAATTAACTTCTCGTTTTGTATGTATTTGTAAATTATTGAGTGTATATGTGTATGTATGTAATATCAAACAATAATAAAAAAGTACATTTTTTTTATGATTTAGTTTTAAAAAATAGGAATAATATAGTACATAATATTATCATTTATTGTTTCTATGACTATATCTTTCATATATCTATTAAACTGTAATCAACTTATCCTCAAATACTCCAGATTAAGTTTTCAAACATTTCTGCACTCTAGGTGACTATGTCTCTGTCCAACTCTTTTGTAGTTCTGTTAACTGTTAACATAAGGAAGTTTAACATTTTAGTTCTCTACCACTATCCTCCAATGATATAATATTATACCATAATAGATCATAATTACCTACATGTATTGTGGAATAACTCAAATAAGGTTATTGAAATATTTTGTCCTTAAAATTTTTCCTTAAACGGCTTAAACTAACGACCCTATGTTATTGTATTATCCATAAATTCGCAGCTTTGATCCTTTTGATCGTTGAAATTATGTCTATTTCAAAAATATTCTCCTTCTACCACCCGCAAAAACTAAATTCCTAACACAGTTTCTTTTATCTATTATACCATCCATCACATTATTATTAATGTGCTTATATTTTGCTTGTGGACATTAAGGCATATTTTATTGTTTATTAACTATAATTTACGGTTGACGCTTAAACAGCTATAAAATAACTATCAAGTCCAAGTGTAATATAGAAAATAGAGGTATAATTAAATGTAATAATTGATGGCGAATTAATATATTTAAAATACAATTCTTCGACTTCCAGAATTTACATAATTTAATAGGTCATGCATAATATAAATATATAATATTTAAAATATTTAGTCTATAGTACTCATTAATTGATGTAGTATACTAGAATATTTTTTACAAATTATAAAATGTTAATAGATTAATATTAACTTATAGAATTTTCAAATTATCATGGACCCCACAACTTCCAAACCTATTATCATTTATAAATTATCACGGGCGATGGGATATTATACTTTTAGTAGGTAGGTTAATATTCACATGAATTAATAACTTAAAAACTTCAGATACTTCTTTAGGTTTAAATTTACTAGATAGGTCAATCAAATTATAGTAAACCATATACTTAACAATTTATAGTTAAAATGGTTGTTTTTCGTTTGAAAACTTAAGTTTACTTCACTACAGACCATACCTTATATGACATAACAGATTTAAGTAAATTAAAATACTGTCTTAACTCTTAAGTATTCTGTAGAACTCCAAAATCATAATTTGAATAAATGCTTAATTAATTAAAATATTGTGGTGGGCACTGGCCGCTGGATATATTATGCTTGGTGAATCTCCCTGTATAACGAAACCTTTCATTTAATATATTAACTAATGAGGGCGTGAGTAATGAGTGAGTACCTAATACAGTGAATTGTTCTAGTATATTAAACAAATATATCTGTAGTATAATATAAAAATATATTTTTCCTTACTTTAATCGCCAGGAATAAAAAAGAATAAAAGAGTTTGCAACGAGTAGAATCGACGAACCTCCATATTCTAGTTGTTAAGTCATCATCTTGATGCATTTTACAGTATTATTTAATTATTATATTATAATTTAGTGAACAGAAATATTTATATTTTGTAATACATAGAAATTAAATGGATGAAAAAAAGTTTTATAATATTATCTCGGTAAGTAGTGAAGACACAAAAATATTATATAGGTATTTTTAATATCTCAATATCTCCTTTACAGTCTTTTTCCACATCGCTGGTTTTTAATCTAAAAATGCGTATACTCTACCCTCATTCAGAGAACAGCTCCGAATAAATTGCGATCTAGATATGTACACAGAATAATATTACTCTATACCTATAACCGGCCAATGCGTTTCTCATTTTAGATTTGAAAAAAAAGACATTAGGTACTGGGTTCACCATTCACAGCTACATTATAAAATGAAGTAGATACAGCAAATGTGATTTTTTTCTAGTGGGTACCTACCTGTTTTTGAAAAACACTATTTACAGTGCACTTAATGGTGAGACGAGTTTCCAAAACGTTTATGATTTACTGACCTAATTATAATGTAAGCGGCTTATTAAAATCGGTCGACAGCTGTTTGAGTCATCTAATGAATGTACAAATGTATTTTAATACTTTAATACGTATACCTATTTAATTCAATGCTAAAAGATTACCCCTCTTCTGTCTTCTATAAGAGAAAAAAATTAAATTAAGTCACTTGAAACTTTTTGATTACTTGGTCGATTAAAATTCATAAAGTAACAATAAAGAATACAATATTTTTTTAATAAAATCGGCTTACTTACTCTTTGGCGTCTTATCTCTTCGAAACAGTATAATAATTTCACAGTTTTCCGCGATGATACTTGGCACCTCCTGTATTATATAACTATATAAGTATATAATATAAATGAATGATTACTTTTATTTACGAAAGCAGAAACATCAAATAATGAAAAGAGGTATTTAAAATAAATTATGTGCGTTCCCTGCTGCAAAAGTACAGTGTAAGAAATTTCATTATAATACCGTTTGACAATTAATGTTTTCGATTAATTTGTTTGTCCGTCATGAATTAATGAAGCATATTATAAACAGCAATACTGCAGCAATGCAGACAGTCACAACTCGCAATATCAACTCGAACGACTTTAATTAACTGACAATGTGATGAAATTATTTACTATACTATAGACAGGGTTTAAGTGGAAAAAAATTCCAGAGGGGACTAATATCTTTATATAGTTTTAAGCGTTCCATATATAATTTTATGTTAAATGTCTGATGTATAAAATCCTAATTTGTTAAAGGGGACATTTTTTTAACCACCGTCAGAAGTAGGGGGACTGATTCCTTCTGCCCCCCCCCCCCAATTTATATAAGTTATACAGCTTATTTTTGTTAAATTAAGTCGATCCAGTATTGTAAAACACATTTTAAATTCAAAAAGTTTAAACTTTTTTAAAATATTTTATGAGAATTGTTTAGTAGATAAGTGCCTTTTTTTCTGTTTGAACCGACGGCGCCGCGGGGACTGCTTTCACATTACTTCCGCGAAGTAGATAAGTGCCTACTTGTTTTAAATCTAACCCAGGGGGGAAACATTTAACAGTTTGATCTAAACCTATAACGTTTAATGTTTGTCCCTGTTCCTTATATTTTATGGTCATAGATAGGAAAGCATAATTTGAGTGGAAATTGGAGCCGCCCGAACTGGAATAGCAGATTGGTTGGTATCATTAGTATTGGATGTGGATTTAGTAGGGGGTTGCTCGGGCACCCCCTGTTGTCTAAGTCTCCAATGAAATAAATTTGTATTCAAAATTAAGTAATATAAAATAGGAAGGTGTAAATAATTTCTTTTTGAGCACCCCAGTTAAAATTTTCTGGATCCAAGCCCGATTGGCATTCTATGTTATCTAGGGACCAAGACGGTTTCCCCAGCTCCACAGCTAGTGCCTTGTAAGAATCGTACACTCGGGCAGACAGTATTTAAAGGATGTTATTTGCATTTAGAAGAACTGAATACTGATTAAGGTTTGTTTAATCTCTCCTAGTTTTGATTACCTATTACCACTGAAATAGATAATATAAGCATATGCATATACATCGGTTTTATACATTATTATTATTATTTGACTTTGTATTCGAATTTCAAAAAAAAAATTGTTAATTTAAATGTATAAATTGTTTCGAGACAATACTTAGACAAACCGATGTAATACCTGAAAAATATTATCGTCAATTGTTTTTGTAATGGCTGATTTTAAAATTGTATTCTAAGATTAGGTACTCTACAACATATAAAAAACATCTGGGATTCTGCTTAAATACGTTTTGTCTATTTTGCACGTGGACCAGAGAGGAAAAAACAGTGAGCCGTCATCCTTATAAATTATAATCTGATAGTATAATACAACTCGATATTGTGGTATTTAGTGATTTTGGTATTTTAGTCTAAAAATATTTAATTTATATATTACGAATTTACGACTGTGCAGCCTGCTGGCCATTGAATTTCAGGGGCCGCGGTGCAATAACAGTGAGTAGGGGTACCTAAATTTTTGTTGATTAGATACCAATCAATTTATTATTTGCTTTTAAAATAATTACAAAAATGGGAAAAACAGCCGAAAGATAACCGAACTATGTCTACTCTCATAAATGGATTGTTTATATTTGAGAAATTGAGAATACAATATCAAGCATCATAATATTCAGAATGAGGACAAAGTAACAAACTTCATCATTCATCAATTAGATAGTAGGTACTAGGGAAGATTTTGTGAAAATAAGTAGATATAGGAAGAACTCAACTCAAAATGATCAGTATCAAAATGTTGAAACATTTTAAGTTTCAATAAATTACACAATAAATTCCGGACACATACATTATATATTAAAAGAATAAATAATTGTTCATTAATATAATATTATATTGAAACCTAAAGATAAACATAGATGATTATCCATCAATAATAATAAAAATAATAATATAGGTATAGAAATAATATTGAAATGGCCATGTATTTAAAATTTTAGGAAAAATGATGGACAAGTAAAACAAATTCTTTAGTATTCTTAGTTGATTACACATTTGAACATTTCTATTAGGCAATTATAAAATATAGGATTATTAATATTACCCATCTAGTACAAACTGAAGTAGGTATACTAAATATATATCATAGTATTTTTATCAACAGTGAACTAAATATATTAAATCTGCTTAAGCTATTGTATACATAAGCATCAACTACTTCCACATTATCTAATTTTTATACTAAATTTCTTATAAAAACTTAAGTTTTCACAGACAGTACAAAAAAATAGGTATAGAAAGTAATTTAACTGTCTACAAACATAAACCATGTCAACAAAACCTATTGGAATATAATAATAAATGCGATAACATTAGTTAATAATAGGTTCACTTTGCACCAACAGCTGAATACTAAAATAGTTAAATACAGTGTAATAATTAATAATATATTATTTTTATCATAATCATGAATAATATATAATATAAATTTACTATGAATCTTAAGTTTTACTTTACACAATTTCACAGTTGAATATTATTCAAATCGTAAATTACATTTATAGAATGGTTTTTAGCCAATGTCAACATTAAGCAAGCAATTGATTCACTTAAATGTTTACATTAAGTATCAAACATTACTCTTGCTACTGTACAGCTAACAGTAGATATCGATAAATGTATGAATTTGAAAAAAAGAAACCAATGACCTGCTACAGGAAATTATTTATACTTAATATTTTTATTATTTAAGTATAATATAATAATCTGAAACTCATATTTAAAATTAAATGCCAAAGGTATTGTAAGTTTGTATTTATTATATTTCGTTTACGCTAAAACATAAGCACATTCACATTAATCAATGAAATATAAAAGATATAAAATAGAAAATTATTGAAATACAATGAGATAATTATAATGTCAACTTATGTCTTATGCGTGTACTTGGAAAAGTCAAAAATAAAATACTATCACATGATGAAAAGGCATGACAAGGGACAATATAATATGGTATTTAATTAAAATAGCAAACACATTATCATGCTAAACCCTAATAATAAGTGTATCTACGCAAGACTAACACCATAGGGTATTGGGGAACAACCACAATTTTTGAAAGACTGATGGCTGTTCACATCAATTGCGTTCGCCATAAATCATTTACAACACCACTCATTAACAGTCTAACAATAGTCGGATACATAATATAGTCCGAGAAAAAATATATTTTTTAACTTAATGTATGTTGTGAATAATCCATAAGTCCTCAACGAACAGCAACACTGATGTTAGCCCTTGTCATTTAAACCTTCCCAAAATATATATTTAAATATATATGTAAAAAAGTTTTAACTATTTACATTAGGTAAATCTTAAATGACTACTAGGTAATGTTAATAATTTCACAGGATCTGCACCTATTTCTTTATCCAGCTAAATATTGGGATCTTGAATGCCTAGATGGTCCTGGGCGAGGGTTGTACTTTTTTGGCGTCCATTTGATTGCACTTCCTTCTAATATGAATCTTGGTCGTTTATACTGCTCCGAACTAACCAGCTGTTCAACATTCTTAGGCGTCACACAAATTACATGTTGGCCTTTCCAGTACTTCACCATGTTCATAGACTGCAATGTTGAAATGATGTCTGTTTGGGTGATACTAGTCATCGCGCTAAAATAAATTATATAACTTTTAACTACTCTCCTCGCTATCAACGAATGTTAATAAATCTATACCTTAAGTCTTTAATTGATAAAGATCCACAGGCATTCTTCAAAATTTCCAACAGTATCCATGACCAATAAGATCTGTATGACAATTTACCAAGATCACTCAATGGCTTTTCAGGACTGGCTACAAGTCCTTCTAACTTGCTCAATTCGTAGCTGAACGCTATTAGAAGTTTACCATAGCCCTGTCTCTGGAATGGCGGCATTGTTAATATACAAGCTACATTGTTGCAATCTGGTGAATCTTTTTCCTAAAATAAAATAAAATACAACAATTAAGTCACAATTCAGAATTTTTTTTATGAACAATTTAATGGACATACTTTTGAAAAATATCCAACTAAATGTGCACCAACTTTGTCAACTTCACAAAGGATATAAAACAAAAATGGTTCAACATCAAAGTAGAGTGTTTTATGATCTAAAAATAACTTTGCCAATAGACAAAGATTCTGACAATACATTTTGTGTTGACTGGAATTCACTTCCCAGATTGATAATGATCCTTTATGATACACTTCAACACCGGGTGGTTGTCTCCATGTGCATTGGCTCTGAAATCGTACACATTTGTTATAAAACAAAAAAAAACGACCCGTAGATTGAATTTAATGCTGACCATATGGTATTTGAATGATTTTTCTAGTTTGCTGTATTTCAAACAGTATTCACAAATCCAAATTTTAGATTCTTTTTGGTATTCTGCTGGAAATGGACTAAAATACCATGTGTCAATTTCGTACTTTCCCAACTGTACTTTATTGATGTATTTAATTTTAGTTATTGCTTCGTGCTCTTTTTCCAATGCAGCTGTAGTTGGATCCATTTCTGCATATGACTAATTAAAATAAAATACTATGTTAATACAATGAAAAGCATTTAAATGGCTAAAATTATACGTTTTTGTAAAATTAGAGTGAATCCAACCTATTATGAAACTTGATGGTAAGAACTTAATCTGTGTTTTGTTTGAAGTTTTTTTACAATAATTCAGTTTTTAAGTGAGTTATGATCATTTTTAATTTACATTTATTATACAAACACAGATAAAGTTCATACTATCAAGTTTCATAAAAGGTCGATTTTCTCTAATTTTTAAACCAACGGCATAAAACGTGAACTGCTGAGCATAAATTTGGTATGTTATAAGTTTGTAAGACGGAGACAACACATGTGGGTGTGGCGTCCTCTTAAGAGGACGCTACACAAACATTTGTTGCCTAAGTCATACAAGTGCGTAATATAGATAATTTAACGCTCAGCAGATCACAGTTTAGCTCTGGAAGTTCAAGTTTTTTATTTGTATTAAGTTTGATAATAGGTTAATACACTATTGCATTGAATATAACAATAACATTGGTTTTATCGGAAGCAAATTTGGTATGTTGTGTGTGGGTCTAGGGAGAAAACCCCTGAGAAAACAAATGATAAGCTGACATCCGTAGAGAATTTAATAATATACAGAGTGTCCTGTGAGGATATAACCATTAGCCGTAGGGGGGACTCGCCGCCCTTACAAAAACCGGTTTTTATTCTGTTCTACCTATTAACTAAAAAAATGATTAAAAATCAGGAAATTAATAAAATTAAAATGTTGAAACGTCAATATTTTCAAAAAAATGAACTTTACAAAATTGCTATCTTCAATTTTTTTTTAAAATAATTAATACAAATTATATTTTTTAACTTTTTTACCGAAACACCTACATTATTTCAGGAGATATCGCAATGAGTAAATCCTGTCGGGACATCCTGTATAGCTACCATTAACCAAAATATCGGTAAAACAATATGACAAAAGATTAAATTTATTTCATTTATTCAATAAGACATACCATTAGAATTTTAAACACTGAAATCTTGTGCAACCTAAATTAGATCACTGAGTTTGAAATGTTTATAACACTATATTATTACTAAGATCTTATTAGTCTAGAAATTTAATTAAATCATACAGTAATAAAATTTTTACCATTGGAACATGATTTATCTCGTCGTGTCTTCGTTTTTGGTTCCTTGTTATCTTTCTGTCAGACTGATTTAGAAGATCTAGATTTTTATTCACATCCTTCTGTTTCCAATTTTTTTCAGAAATATCAAATCTTGAATTCATTATCCTAAACCATAATTTTATGTTTAAACTTTTGGTTGCTGATCATAAACTGAAATTAAATAATTCATACCTATCCCTTGGTACCCATTGATCCAATCTTCGATTGTACCCTTCATAGTGTACATAATACTCAAAAAGATTTTCTGCATCATTGAACCTTGTATGTAAAACTTCAGCAGGATCTAAAGATTAACAAATAAATAAGACATATTATCTGTAGTCTATCTACTGTTTTTTTTAGTTAGTATAATACAGTAAAATATTAAAGTATAAGATATTTTATAAACGTCTTAACATAAAAATAAGCGATATATTTTTTTTTTTTCATTGAACTTAAGCCCAGTGACTAAGGCCATTAGCTGTTATAGGGGTTATGAACTGTAGTAAGGGTAAGGTTGGTACGGTAGGTTGTTTTTTGTGATTGTTAGGGTTGTTACACTAGGGAGCAAACACGTGGTATGTGTGGCAAGGTTTTTAACTACTACGAACCCCGGTGGTCACCCATCCGGGAGCTATTAGTTATGGCCGTTACTTACTCCCAGTCGCATTCCGCGACTGGTAGCAGCCAACACGCCACGCCAAGCCACAATAAGACATATTAATAACTATACATTTTTGTAAATTTAAAGTAAGTAAGTACCTAGGCAGATAAGTACTTAAATGTTAAGTAAATAACATGGTTTTCTTGAAATATATTGATGTCATTAAGATAAAATTGAAATAAATAAAACAGATATGAAAAAAATAAATATTTTTATCATATTTAAACCAGACAATCAATAACAGGAAAAATTGTAAAATTGTGCATGACATCATTAATCAGTTTAATTATTAGTTATTACTATGTAAAATTACAAGGCAAGGGAAAATTAAACTTTGATACCTAGGTACAGGTATTTATTTTTTCGTGAAACTTATAATTACAGATAAATTATACTAAGTAAGTTATCTAGGTCATCTCAGACTGAGGTACCTCATATTATAATATGTATTAATAAGTTATAAATATAAAAACCTTAACAAATTCATTGTTTAAAATATTTTTTCCTGTCAAAAAAGTAAATGACAGTCGAAACTTGTTTATAAAAAATGTTAAATATCAGAAAAATACTAAAATAAGATTAAAATACCAACCCATTATTTATAATTTACAAGAAAATGATATAGGTTTTGAATTAATTATTGGTTTAATTGGTTTCTACTAATTGCTTACTAATTACATTTAAAAGTTAATAATAATACTCAAGTTAATGTGAATAAATGCGGAATCAATGAGATGGATACAGGTATGCACATTAGAGCCTTCTTTAACTACTACACATTTTTTCAGGTCTGGGTAAGTGCATTACAAACAAATTATATTAATTTTAATATTGTACGTATCAAACAGGGGTTTAACTGGTTTCAATAAATTCCTGCTGCTGAACAACCGCAGCATGGTGCAGTAGGAAAAGACATCTGTTTTACCCAGACCTAATAAAACGCTTACTGAGTTAAAGTTCAAGATATAAATTTACAGTGTTAAAATGATTTAGGTATAAGGCTGGGTGGCATATGCTGTACTCTCGTAATTCAAAATAATACATTTCAAGAAGAAGCTTCACAGCTATTTTTTGTCTCTGTCTTACAAGTGCATTACATAGTAATTGTATGCTTAGCTAATCACGTTTAGCTACTTTTTTAAAAAATTGGAGTGACCCGACCTATTGCATTTCTTGTGGTAAGAACATTAACTGTGTTTGTAATAGGTTTATTTTTACAATAATTCAATTTTTTAACAAGTACTATAAAATATTGTAAATTAAAAAAGCTCATAATTTACATAATTACTGAACCATCTTAAAACCCACAGATAATGTTCTTACTTACAATCAATTAGATGCATTCCAATTTTTAAACTAACAGAGCTAAATTTGATCTGCTATGTTATGCACTTATAGAACGGAGACAACAAATATCTGTTAAGCGTTCTCTAAATGAATTGATATAACTGATAAAAACTTGTATTATATCTAAAGCAATAAAATGTTAACATAATAATAATAATCATAATTATTTCATACAAGATTAAGTTTTCGATTAGGTACTTACATATTAGCTATAGATTAGCTACCTACATAATATCCAAATAATAGTTTACATGCAATTTTGTGAAAAATTACTCAGGGAAACTGGAAATTCTTATAAGAAAACTGAGAATGCTGAGCAGCAAGGATGTCTCCCTCTATGTTGGCCATAGATACACAATAATTTATGGTGTAAAATTATTTGATCTGCTAAATTGTACATGAAACTTATGAACATGTTGGGTTTTTTAAGATATTAGGTACCTACAAAAGTAGTTCATTATTTAAATTTATCACAGCGAACAGGTAACCTTCATAATAATGTAATATTAATTATTAATAAACTAATGTCGTTATCATTTTTACAGTGTATAATATCGAGGCCTAGGGGAACCATAAATCAAGTTCAAAATGGGATCGCCCATTTTTCCAGATCACTCCATAATATTATTATTATAACGTGGCGTAAAAGAAAAACTTGTACTCATTTTTATAAACATGGTCAGTGGTCACCCTACACCATAAAGTAATAAATACTCCACATCCGACACTCACACGCCGTCCGCGTAGAAGTGCGCGGGAAAACTGCAGTCGTCGCGACGGCGGCGGTCATAGACAAGTACCTACTACCCATACTATATCCCGGCGATGGTGCGGGGAATAGGAGTACAGACTACAGAAAGCACGTCGTGCCGGCGTTACCCAGCGGAACAATAACAACAATAATGACGCGCGGAGCATAAACGAGTGACGGGCGCGGAGGCGGGAAAAAATTGCGCGGGCGAAAATTACGCGCGAGAACGCCGCCGTCGCCAAACGGTATCGAACGCGCTAGAGGCAGCGCGGCGGCGGTGGTCGTGAACGCGCCTCGGCAGCACGAAACCACCATCACGTAATTGTTTATTTACGTTTTTCTTCTTTGAAATTTTAGAGGTCGAGGGACGGGCCACCACCACCACCACAACAACAACAACAACAACGGTCGTGTCGGTCTCGGGGAATCAAGTTGTGGGCAAGTAGTGGGGAAGGGGTCAGGATATATTCTCTGGAACCCGCCGACGCGCTCGAAAACTAACGTAAAATGTGAACAAAAGAACGACGACCCAGACTCGGAGGTTTACGTTTGTCGGGAGACCGACAAATCGGACGTCGCCCGTGTTGTCGTTTGCATACATTCAGTAGTTGGAAAACAAAATAATAATTTTGTATAATATACAGTCGCACATGTTGCGCGCCGGCCGACGGCTATAGGTTGCACAACATTTCGTCAGCGATCGGCGGCGGCAGAGCTACGCGTCCGCACCCGCACGAGCCCGGCGCAAGAGACCAACGACTCGCGCGCACGCACACATGCACAGAAATCACGTTGCGCGGCACCGGCCGGGTAGGCTCCCGGCGGTGGCTGCAAAGGAGGATAACGAAAACATCTTTTTACGCATCGATCGATCGACCATCTCTCATACTATCGATACTATTAATATTAGTTATTACTAACAACCAGCCGGTTGTGTGTACTCACGCCATGAGTCGTCGTACCGGCGGACCAAGTAGTGTTCACCCACGTCCAGCGGCCGACAACTGTCTTCCGACGATTCTGAGTCCTCGGCCTTCTCGTTCTCCGACGAGCCGTTAGCGGTTTTCGGGTCGTCCGGGCTGTTGGCGTTCCGAGGCGGATCCACCTCCATGCTGACGGACGTTGCGCTGTGGTGTACGACCATAATAATTACCGGGCGACGACCAAGACGATACCGTGTGTAAAAAAGCGAACGGCTGAGGCGAGATTATTGAAAAAAAAACAATAATAATGAATTCTTTTCGATCTTTAACGCGGCAGTTTAACCGTCAACCACGAGAGTATGAGACAGCGACGAGTCGTGAATGTTACTGAGTACCGCTGTCCGCAACAGTAATACAACGATGCCAGTGCTTACTGCTCGTCGCTTGATGCTACCACAAGTCTGAGAACGACGCACGTCGTCTACGGGCGGTGTCGGCTTTGTTTGGGCTACGCGCCCCGCCCCGCCCCGTCCAGGCACCGATGCCGATCAGCGCGCTGCACTGTGGCGCCGCCCAAACGACCTCGCCAGTCGTCGTGGAACGTAAAATCAACGTGGCTCACAGAATTTCCGTCCTGGAACAAACGACGAAAACGAAAAACTACATCATTCGAATAATCGAATCGCAATGGACAGCGGACAATCCGACAGTGCGCGCCTTTATTGCTCTTGTTTTTATGTACTAATAATAGTAATAATAATAATCTGAACTATCTTTTTTCTAGCAAAATAGACACATTATTATTTATTACCTTTACAGCACACACGAAAATGTTACGTATCAAACAATAGTTTCATTATACTATTCTGTATAAAATAAAAACAAAATCAATAAATTATAATTGTTTTCAAGACAATGGTTATTACATAATATTAAGTTTAACTGTATATAAAATAAAAATATATTTATATGTAACAAAAGAAAATTTGATTCAACGTACAATATAATGTATCATTAAAATTAAGTACCAAACTTGGAACAAGTTATTACAAACATATAATATATGGAAAATTTATAACATAAAAGTTTTGAATTTCTATTATTCAATAATATTTTCATGTTTAAAACAAAAAACATTATTTTGGAAATAAATTAAAATTTCAAAACAATAAAAAGCATGACAATTGCCTTATACAATACAAAATATAGTAAAATAGGTACTATAAATCTAACATATAATATAGTCTTTATTTTTACAAGATTGTCACATAAATTTATTTTAAAATTAATTAGGACTAATTTACAATAAATATTATGGAAAAGTCTGGGTCAAAAAATAAGCTTAAATTTCTTCATCTTCACAATTGTGTAAATATATTTGGAATGATCTACGTCTGCTAGTTCCATCTTTGGAAAATGCAAACTTATGATAAGTACCATCAAGGCAGATAGCTGAAACAAGAGTTCAATGCAACCATATTAATACATAAAAAAACAATCAACTAAAGTTGTTTATTCATCATTTTTTTTTAATATGGTGAACCCTAAACAAAACTGGGAATGAAAGCTCTATCAGAAAGTGTCCCGTCAAACCCCAACCACAAGACGGTAAAACACATTCACATTATAGTTATACTGTTGTATCATCTTTACATAAGTAAAACAGTGAAACTTCCATGAATAAACAAAATATTTTTGAAAACCAAACCAAATTATAATCAAATTTATAATGTTTTTTTTCTGTTTCACAAATTTCTCTGAAGTACAATTTTTTTTTTTTTGCCCGTGAGGCTTAGTAATATGGAAGTTTTGCTGTTCTTGTAATTTCCTTATAAATAATTTTGACAAAGTAAACAAAAGGTAAAATGAATAGAACCCTATATCGCAAATTGTTAATATTGTATTGGCAACAAAAATGTTTTATAACAATATTTTTCAAGTCTAGATTTTATTGACACTTCTTAACTGACATTAGTCTTTATCAGAGTATATAGTTCAGGGATGGCAAACCTTTTTGTACCAGCGTGTCAAATAAAAATTTTGGTTGGATTTTGTCTGCGTGTCAACTAATTCGATAACCCTTCAATTTTTTTTTCCATAACTTTAATATTATCACACTTATACATGTTCGCGTGTGTCACTAAAATAGTGATACGCGTGTCCTAGGTTCGCCATCTCTGAGATAGATAATCCATTCCAAAAAAAATTACTTTTACAAATAAACATTAAACATAGAATAATTGCAGTTAAAAAAAAATATTACAATTATCTAATATTATCAGATGTTTAAAAACCATTTTTTATTCTTACCAGCAACAGTATCTTGAGTCAAAAAAGTGCAAATACAGCCCACTTCTGGGGGTACCGTATAAGTGGCTAAAGCCCACTGTGATTGACAGTAGGAACTGAAAAAACTGAATGGTGATAGACTGGATCGGCGATTTAAATCAGATTCTATCACTGCAAATATATGAATTGTGCCCTTGTCACTTGAGCAGCATAGAAATTCTGAATTTGGACTGAAGTTTATACTATGAAATGCAAGCAGATTAAAAACTACATTAAATTATAAATTAATCATATTATGTTTTTATTTTGTAAAAGTATCGCAGTAGATTATTGTAAAAACTTATACTTGTTTATTATAACAATAAAAATACATAATATTATTATGATTCACATGTATTTTTAATTAAAAAAAAAGTGTTAACAAGAAATTACATACCAGTATAATGTTGCTGTATCTGACCCACGTCTTAGTTCAGCAACTTTGACTTTATGACAAGTATCCCAAATTCTGATTAAGGTTCCTTTAGAACTTGCACTAGCTATAAGTGTACCAAGTGGATTAATAGCTAAGCAAGAAATCTCTCCCTGATGAGCATTGAGTATTGCTGGGGCACTAGAACTTGTTGCTTCCAAATTTGAAACATCCTAAAATAAAAATAATTATTTTTGTGCATAACATTGTAGAATATAATATTATCTGTAATTACCATAATATGAACACTTCCAATTTTATTCCCAGGATATGCTATGATTTGTTTTGTAGAAGTTTCTAAAGGTGTGATTTCACACAATCCCATTGGATTTGGACGGGTTTCCAAATTAATTATGTGCCTAGTGGCTACAGGAAATGTAAAAACGGATATCTTATCCGTGGTTACAACTATTATTCTGTATTTAAAGTTACAAATTTAAAATAATACCAGTGAATAATCTATTAAAAGAATAATACTAAAGATATACTAACTTGTTTCTCCTCAATCGCACAGATTTTACATTGGAATCACAAATAATTTCCATCACAAATTTTTGCAAGAGAGCATCATAGATAAGTACAGTATTCTGACTGTATTTTGGATATTTTCCACCAGCAATTATTGCAAAGATATTGGTTCGATTCAGCATTTCACATTTTGATACACCGCCTAAATCTATAGGTCACAACAAATAATTTGGTTACTATCATAAATGTAGTGCCTAAACATCACCATCGTCGTTTTTTTACTTTGACTTACCAAATCTTTCTCTTGGGGATAAGGGTTCAACATTGTACATTCTAACACCAGTTTCAGTGCAGCAGACAAAACAAGCTGAAACAAGATAAATGTTTGGAGATCACTGTCACGTTCAAAGATACTATCTACAGCGGGCAATAAGTTTAAGGTAAAATGTTGTATTTGTATACTCACTACGGTCCTGGTTAAAACTCAAACTGATAATTCCTTTTTCGTTCATATTTATACCGTTTGTATCAGGGACAACAATGTATTATATTCTTCACACGCACAGTCAACCAAGCCCTATTGAATTTCAAAAACTTCGTAAAAAAAAAAGAAAATGTTACAACGCAAAAGAAACAAAAGAATTCATCAATAACGACAGGTATTATGTAGGTATTGTAAATCTTTCAGATGTATTCCGACTTCTGAGTAGGTACCATAAATCGTGTAATCGTAATCACCACAGTTCAGAATCAACCAACCAACGTACAAACGCAATAGTGTAATACAGCAGTTGTTCGGTGTACTGGCGACTGGCGTACAACTACTGCGCAGTGCTTACGTTTATAGATAATACATCCATTATCTACACTCCACAGCCGTGAAACTGCGCACCTGCTAAAAATTCTATTGCGTCCACGGACCACTGTAGACACTAGAAATGTAAAATAATAAAAGATGAATACAATCCTGTGATAATCACAGACTTCTATCACAGCATAGAATATATATGTTTATACAGAGTGATTCACCTGGCACGCTCGCCCCTTTTTTTCCTTTAATAATGAATTTATTCGGTTCTAATTTTTGGAACTTTTACATATTATTATCGAGACAAATTTTTCGAATTCTTGAATTTTTTTATACTTTCTAAGGAGTGTCCTGTCTCCTGTGGTAGTACAAACTTCTATTTTTCAAATTAAAAACCCCTTTTATACTTTAGTGGACAATGTTTTTGAAAATTTTGATGTACCTACTACCTAGTTAAAAATTTGAATGAGTAGTTTTTTAGTTATTAAAATGTGTATACCTAGGTATTAAAGATAATAATTCTGAAAAATGGTTTTACAAAAATATAAAATAGACGTAATATTGAAACTAGTATTGATTATACTTGGGCCATTTTGATAGATTGACATTAAATATTAATGATTAATATTTTCAAATCTTCATAGCCTTTTATCTTTTAAACCCATACCGTGGACTTTTTATCCGTGGAACACAAAGTTAAATAACTCAAAAACTATTCATAAGAATTTTGAATTTGATACGTGACATTTTTGAGAAAAATTATCCACTGAATAATTTACAGTTAAAAGGGGGGTTCTCTTTAAAAAAACAGAAATTTGTATCTCCACAGGACACTCTTTAAGCAGAATAAAAATTCTCAAGAATTTGAAAATGTTTTTTTTAAATATATTCAAAAAATCCAAAATTCAGATTTTAAATTACTACATTATTAAAGGAAAAAAAGAGGGTGAGCATGCTTGGTGAATCACCCAATATATGCTTCTATAGTTCTATTCTAACTACACATAGAAATCCGTGACGATAACACGGTGCGTGTTACACATAGACGATAGACCTATAAACTTTAGTTTATACTTTTATAGGTCTACTATGGTGTAACCCAATTATTTATATATATATTTTAGACAATTTATAATAATATGAGGTTCCTTGGCTACTGTTATACTTTTATAAGTTGTCGACATCAATGGTAAATTAACTTATAAATCTTAGAACTTAGAAGACTTATAAAGTTATAACTCTATAAGTTACGATAAAAAGCATACCTACTCCAGACACCGAATCATGGATCAATCCAATAAATAATACTTTCAAATAGATTTTGTATATTTCTCAACAGTGAAACAATTGCAAACATATTAGTAAAAAATCAAACACCTATAGAAATAGAGTATATTATTCCGATCAGAAAATTGATGAACCCATCAACAAAAATAATTCTATCTAACGTGTATTCCTCTATCCCGTACTATTATCAACGTTTTACTAGATGTAGGAAACAGATTAACATAATAACATCAAACATCTCAACTTAGAGAGCTGGATTTGATTCCGAACAATTCTATACCGCTCAATATACAATGAGTTTTCCCGTTTCCGTGTTTTATACAAAAGGAAATTTATAAAATGTCGTACCCATTATATACAAAAAATTCAGTCAGATCTCACTACTGATCCCAAATATTTTTGGAGTTATTTTTAAAGTTTAAAAGTAGATAATGGAGTACCAGATACAATAGTGTTTGATAACTAATCTTCATCCGGTGGTCATGATGTGTCAAATCTGTTTAAGAAATTTTTTAGCTCTGTCTTTTTTACTCTTAGTTTAAGTAACAATAACTGTATTAGCAACATTGATAATAGTACTTATACTGCCACTTAGCAGCTATTAAATTATCAGTTGAAGAGATTTTTCAAAGCTTCAGTTCTCTAGATTCAAATCCGTGTCTCGGACCAGATAGTATCCCTAATATCTTATTACGTTCGTGTACTTACTCCTTATATGTTCCCATTCACAAGTTGTTTAGTCACTCTTTACATAAAGATGTATTCCCGTTCCAATGAAAAAATAGTTATATATCACCCCTATTCATAAATCAGGCAATAAAAACTCGATCTCGAATTATAGACCTATCTCGAAATTATCAACGTTACCTAAACTTATTGAAAACTTAATGATGCCTCGGTTAACTTTTTATTTTAAGAACATAATTAACTCCACTCAACATGGTTTTATGAAGTGTTCCACGAAAATGAATCTACTTTGTTTTTATAATTCTGTATTAAATTCCATGGAATCTGGCAGCCAAATTCAAAATGCCAAAGCCAAAGCCTTCGACTCTGTGAATCTGCACTCTCTACTTTTAGCTAAGCTACGTATGTACGGTATTTCTGATCCTTTATTATCCTGGTTTAATAGTTATCTATCAGATAGATCCCAACAAGTTAGGATTAATGGTTTTTTGTCAGATCCATTTCCAGTTCTGTCAGGGGTCCCTCAGGGTGGCCACATATCTCCCTTACTGTTTGCCATTTTTACTATGGATGTTGGTTCTTGTTTTAAATATTGTGATTACTTATTATTCGTGGATGACCTCAAATTATTTGCTAATGTTTTTTCATCCAAAAACTGTTCTCTAATTCAAAATGACCTTGATAACTTATGGCCTTGGTTTGAACTTCTAGATGCCATAAATCCATATTTTCATGGTTTCATCAACGTTTGTTATTTCTTTTGAAGACAAATTTCCCAGACAGGTGAGATTTGAGTTAATATTAAAATTATATTCATATATTTAAAGTTTTGCATTGTTTTGTAATTTCCAGATAGAGTGGAAATCCTTAATGATTGGTGAAAAGGCTGTTTCAGCTTACTACCTTACTCCCGAAAAGCACACAGAACATTTTACCAAAAAAAAAAGGCTGGATTACCTGCTTATGACATCTAAAGCAATCTCTTAATTTTTCACTTTCAAACATTGCTTTTTATTTTATTTTTAATTCATTAGATATCCGGTTTAAATATCTACTTAAAAGATGAACTAAAGAATTTGTGATAAATGTAAACTGCTGTACGAAACCATCTGGATTTGACTGGAGATGTTAGAAATGATGGTGGTGACGTGATGTGATGAAAATTAAGGATGAACGGTAGCACAGTAATCCCTCATTATCCGCGGTTGAGTCCACGATAAAATGTTATTAGTAAGATGACGTTTTATAGTTATTATTTGAACACTGTAGATAATTTTTCTTTAACTATAGATAATACAACTATGTATATACTTTTGTACTTATTATGGATAAATACCATACATAAGGTACCTACAGGCTACAGAGTTTTTCCATTCCCAATACATATGCATGTACAGTATGTTTATAAATAATTAATAAATTAAATAAATTAAAAAATGGTAAAAATATGTACTAATATTATTAATACATATTTTTAAAATTAAGAAAATAAAACCTGAACTCCTAATTTACATTGATTTAGGGTTTCATTATCTGTGCAACTTTTCTGGAACGCAACCTCCGTGGATAACAAGAGATTACTGTACCAGAAAGTGAATTTATTCAATCTTCTGTTCAACCTCAGGTGAGTGGAACAGAAGTTAAGTAAATTTAAGATGTATGTGCACTATTAGTTTTCTCTCTAATTAAAGTGCAATATAATATGTAAACTTTCATCAAGCTAACCATTTTTTTGTTATTTAGTTTCAATACAATAGTGAAACATTAGTTGTGTTTGTATGTTGGGTGTTTTTATGATATTTCAATTATCATGCATTCCTGCTATACATGGGCACTCTTAAATTGTAATTTGTTATATTTTACAGACTTATAACTTGCATAAAAATTGAAATGTCTACAACACAAGATTGGTCTTACTGAATTAATATAACATGATATGTCCCAAGCATGTCTGTGTAGGTGGTGGGTCAGGGAGAAATACAAATTAATTGCTTCATAAATAAAGAATTAACTTTTAGTGAAGAAATAAATAACAGTGCAATAAAAAAACAATTATTTTATTATATTATTTATTATGTCCATGCCACATGTATTCTATGATAGTATCTATCTCCCTATCACCTATGTTAGTATACATATAATTAACACATTGACTTGAATTATTTTCACCTTGTTTTTTTTAATCTCTGCACATCATCTTGTACATGCAGCATATGTAAGCGGGATTGCTACAATGGTCAACACAGCTATGCACAATAATTTACTGGTCTATGAGGTTTGGTCAGCTTGGAGATACAGTAGTACAGCGGAGCGCTGGAAGAGGGGGGTATAAATACACTTATATATACCTAATTGTCATGTAAGGGGAAGTTGAACACCCCTCCCACCAAAGTGTCTACTGTCTATGGCCTTACAATTAGTATTTAGTATAGGTATTTGGTATCTGTAGCCCTGGTTAGGGCATAGACCTTTCAAACTTTGTTATATTAAAGTTAGGTAATAGGTTACTAGGTTAGTTCTTACTGTTCTTTGTATAAGGTCCACGGTCTTAAAATAAAGGTCTATGAGAACATCTTCATAGAATAATTAATATTATTCTGCGACAGATTATTTTTTTATCTCTGAACTGTTATCGTATATAGAGTTCGCACGATTCATTAGGTAGTAGCACGTAGTATGTAGGTTAAATTGGTCTCACAAAGTCAAAACCAAAAATATTAAAGTTTATACAATTTGTTTGACCTTAGAAGTGTTAAAAATTAAAATAGAGCAATTTTATTGAATTAAAAATAAAAATAAATATTATTGATAATATTCGAATTTGTTCGGCATATTATTTGTGGTTAAGAAAATTTGAAAAGTGATAACTGATAAGTTGACCCAACATATTGTTATTATCCTTCAAAATCAAATCAGAGGTTTGAATGTCTAATTTTAAAGCCTCTAAGTGGTCCATAGATTTTCGCATTTATTTTGCAAATTATTACTTGCAGTTGAAGTAGTTGAACGAGTTCAAAAAAAAAAAAAATATCAAAATTATTTCAACTTTATAATTTTTAATCTCTGCAGCTGCAGCACTCCTCTACTATTTGGGTAAATTATCAACATTACATTATAATAAATAAATCATTATTTTTTGCTTGATAAATTCTGATTAACTTTAAATTTTCTTTTTAGCTTATCATCCATCGTAAGTATTAAAAAAACCGTATGCCAAAATGGGCGGATCATCTAGCACTACTCGAACACTAGAAATTGAAAATCCAAATGTGATCACTTTGTCAGACAAGGTTGTTGAAAGACTCCGAGGTCAAGAGCAAATAGCACCAGTTGACCAGGGTTCACACATTTTACCGACGTATGTGCAACCGTCGTCTCTGCAAATACAGAAGGTTGTTCAGCAAGAGCTAGAAGCCAATGACAAAAGGTGGGAGCAGCGTTTTCACCATGTCAACAACAGTCAAAAAGCTCTGAACCGCAATGTCGAAATAGAATACAAAAAAACATATGAAAATGTCAAGAAATTGTTACCTATAATTAAAGACGGAGTACTGAGTGAAACTACAATAGAAAAAGAAAACGTTTTATTGGATTGTTTAGCCAATAATAAGGGAACCCCATTGAATTGCACTGATGCTGTCAAAGATTATCAGAAGGTGTTATTTCAATCTACAATTCAAAAGCTTTGAACATTGGTAGCTCAATAGAAACTTATATATAGGAGTTCAAATATGTTTCAATGATAATATGAAAGATTATGCTTAAATGTATGATATTTTAATTATATACTTAAAACCATGGTAAGTAGTTCTGTTTAAATGAATAAAAGGCTACTTTGTTATGTTGTTGAATTTCTGTTTATTGATATGATGAATTTATTTTAATCAACTTTATGGCAAAGAATAAAACACAATACTATAGTTTTCTTTTACTTCTTGCCTGTTTGTAGTATTTTTTATGTCAACGATTTACCCAATGCATATTTTTAATTATTTAAATATCAAAAAATCATAGCTCCATTTGTATATAGATATTAATTAACTGTCATTAAAAATTTGATCATATAAATAATACTTGGGTAGTTCAAATAAGTTGTGCAAAGTAATTTTTTTTTACAGTAAATAATATTCTACTTAAATAGTTGAAATAATCAAGACATATTAAAAATATTTTAGTCATTTTGTTCGGTATAAATGGTATATTTGAGCAATTTAACATGGTCAACCATTTAATGTTTTGAAACAAGTTATTTTATTTTATACGTATTACTTAATATCAGTAGAGGATTCATGGGGAGATCATTTTTGCTGTTTGCAAATAAGTAAGAAATGTTGAATTGGACATATTCATAAATTTGCATACTGACGGACTGATACTGAATAAGTTTAGGTCAGTTATCTATCAATGATATAATTGATTTCTATCTTTAATTAGATTTATTAATATAACTTTAGTCGACCCCAGTTTTCCCAGACCGTAAGTACCTTAATTAATTATAATGTTTTTTTTTAGTTCTGAAAAATTGTTATTCCTTTGTACAAATTTTAATGATGATGGTTTAATTAAAACAACAGTTATAATTTATAATATTATATACAATTGGTTTTAGTAATAAAAAATGAAATCATACATACATAATTTGTTGATAAAAGATTGTCATAAAAATGATCTAATGAATATTTTAATGAGACAAGAAACAAAAAATAAGTGAAAATGTCACATATTATATGAAATATAAAAAAAATTAATGTAAGAATATATTTTTGTGCATTCTGTTATTTAGTCAAGAATATTTTGAAATACATAGTTATGTTCTTTGAAAAAATCACCACATATACAGCTGACATAAATTGTGTATCAATATTATAATAAAATGCAAGATGTGCGCATTAATTTGTTTACATAACCCTGTATATGATTGTTTTGCTATTTCTGGTAATTAAATGTAAGAAGTACAAAATAATACATAACACTAAAACATACAAGTATACATAAAGACAAGCAAATCTTGATGGAAGCCATAAAATAGTGTATGTGACCGAGTGTCTGAATGTATCTGGAAAAAATGTAAAATGCTAATTAAACAAAGTTATGTTTAATTAGATATTCTAAGGTGTCGTAAAAAGATAAAATACTAAACATACAAAACACACAAATCACTTTTTTCATTACGATTACACCATGGATTAAATTTATTTACAAGGTTGTAAGCTTTTTTTATAAGTAACTGAATGCTATAATTTAAATCTCATTATTACAATGCAAGTATGCATGTTTAATAAATTTAAATTATAGTTTTAAATAAACAAATTAACGGAAGAGATAATAATTTTATAATGTCTCACCAATTGTTAATACACCATATCCTATATTATTTGATCCCATTCTATAGGAGCAGGTTGGCACAATTATTTCACTGACTGAATTTGGTGATTGTTGTCCAAACCTCCATTGAGCCCTGGACATTTCATCAAAGCTGTTATGTCCAAGCCTTTGAACATATGTGTGTGTTCTTTTTTTAATGTCACTAATAAAATTAAAAGAAGAGTGATCATGAGCTGAGAATATGAATTCGCTCTTGAACTCATTAATAACCTTGAAAAATATTAAAATATTCTCAGAATTAAAATTAAATTCAGATTAAAAAAAAAATATATATAACGCAGAATTACTTTATCTGTGAATTTTGTCCATTTTGTTGTCAAAGGAATATGTGAAAACATAATTTTTACAGTATTTGTTCGATTTGTAGGATTGATATTTTTTGGCATTGAATCTATCAGTTGATTTACCTATAGTTTTAATTTAATATTAATAACAACAATAAAAAATGACAGTATAATACTAGAGGCATATTTTCAAAATTTTTATTGTACCATGATAAATTCTATCTTTTCATTTTCAATTACTCCAGGCGAACCAAAGTAAAGATGAAATCTATCAACTTTTTCTCGGATTACAATTTCTTCATCGCCACCAATATCATTATCACCTGGGATAAAAATCACCTAAAAAGTAATAATGATTGATAAATAAAAATTACATACAATTTAAAATATTAAGTAATTAAAATAACTACTTACATTTTTAGATGCAAGGGGAACTGTATTTTTTAAAAAAAATATTTTACTAAATCTATGTAAATAACGTTCAAAAGTCTTTTGATCAGCTAATGATCCTTCATCTATTAAATCACCCATAAATATAACATTATCAGGGTTAACATGCTGCAATGCTCGACCATATGTATTGAATAAATATCGATCGCTATCCCAGCGTGTTATTACATTTTCTCTTTCTTCCCCTAATATTTGTGGATCAGCAACTAGTAAGATGGTTTTACAAAACTTCTCATTACCACAGTATAATGTTGGCCATTTATTTGCATACAGCGAGTATACAAACCATTCATTATAAATTGTAGTAGAAACAAGAAGCAATACCAAATAATAATAAATATATTCACTGAAAACATAAGATAAATACAATATTAACAAAAGAAATATTGAAATAAAAGTTTATCTTATTGTGTGTTTATTCAAGTGTTTAATTAAATTATTTGTATCAGTAATTTCCTAAAAAAATAACTTAAGATTTTTTTTGGCAGGACTTGTAACAAAAACATTGTTTATTTTCACCTTAGTATGTTTACTGGCTATGATAGATTAGTAGGCTTAAGGGTTTAAGACTCATCAAATAGTTTTGTTTTTAAATAATTGAAACATCTTATTTCACATTTTATACTAAGATATTTAGATAATTATGAAAAAATTAGTTTCCCATATTGATATTCACACTGTATATATTATATATACCTACCGAATTTAATATTTATATTTTTCAATTAAATAAAAAATGTTATATTATATTATTACTTAACAAGTCATTGTAAATATCTTTAAATACTTCATATGGGGCCCCGGCCTGTGTAATGAAAATAAATAAATAAATAACTTGTTAGTTTATGATAGTTAATAATTAATTCTTAATCACACAGTTATCATTTTGTATAAATTCTATAGCACATAAACATACTTTAATTTGTGTTTGGTCAATTCAAAAACAGTCTTCAGTCTCGTTAAATAAAACAAATGGAACATTATTATGGTATTAAGCTCATTGAAAATGAAAACACAAAATAATAAACATAGTTAATTTTTTAATATAGTTACAGATGGAATTTAATAGGCAGCCGCCAGAACGAAATTAAAAATAATTTTGGACGCATTGAATTCAGTTATTGAGTTATGGTTTATGACTTATATAGTACACTACGAATTTCATATTTTCAAAACAAAAAAATAGAAATTTATAATGGGTACTCATAGCTGCTCGTAACTACAGTCTTGAGTTATGTAACGACCTATGTAAGTACAAAATAATAATTATTACTACAAAAGATATAAATCTATTAAAATAGAATTATTAATGAATTATTTAATAACCACGAATTAAATAAATAAATAGGTATATCTAAATTTTATCTTAAACCGTGCTCACATCGTTATCACTTCTAATCAACCATTATCATGCCATTATCATTCGGTGGTGGTGTTTTCCGCCACGATTTAAGATAATAGAGGTTGCCCCTTGCACTTTGCAGAAATTATGAAATTACAGGTATAACCTTATGACGTCAGCTGATAAAGTACAAAATGTTAGTTTATTAGTATTCAGCAGCAGCCGCAGTATTTGCGCCACAGATATGTATATTAAACATAAATAGTTTAATATACATATCTGTGATTTGCGCTGATTTTTTACACAACCATGTCATGGTAAATATTGGTAACCGCAATGCGAAACTAGGATCAGTTACCGGATAGCGTCACAACGTAATCATATCTGGTTCGACCAATCGGCGGGCTCCACACCCGCGAAAGTGGGAAATATTTCATGGCGGTTAGGTGGCTACACCGGTTTGTCTGAGGGAAAAGAGAACCGATAATAAAATATATATACGTCGGGGCCGCCCGGCGAATAGCAATTCGTTTCGTCGACCGTCGTGTAGACTAGTCGCCCTTAGAGGTTTACTATTAGAGTTTCAGCTATCAGTTAAACGTATTCCCAAACCGCATTGGTAAACCCATTCGATCATGATTTCCAAATATTAATCCGTCGTCGAGTAACGGTGTGAAGACATAATTTTTCTTTAAAGGGTTTGGTCGACTTGCTGCCCGACCGACGACGACATGCAGCAGTATATACGGTATACAAGGAACCTGTTCCTGAGAGGCGTCTCTGTCATCTACTTGCAGGCGTTCGTTGCACTCTACGTCCAAAACTCCGGTGAGTATGGTTTAGGGTCGGTTGGCAGCCTTTCCCCCGGAACTGCTTGATTCAATCCTGAAATTTCGACTTTTCGTCTATGTTGCCGACGGTGTCATGGTACCGGAGGATATATTGTCTTTGCACCATGAATTTTATCTTCGTTATTACTCCACGATTTTTAGACGATTTTTTGGTCCCCTTTTCGCTGCACCACAAAATTGTTCATCAAACTGATATCACTTCATCTACTCTGTTTCTCGGTCATACTGATGACACCATTGTTAACAAACTTTTGTATGATGACATTAGATTTATACATTTTTTACTGTATTTTTATACAATTGTTAGATTCCATTATATAAACACATTATACAAAACAAACTTCACTATCTATACTACCCGTCAATTTGTGTCAAAATCAATACTGATAATTATTAAGTCCTCGACAACAACAAATAATATTTGTATTATAAATTATCATGTTTATTTAAATACGATGTATTCAGGTTTTATACATTAGGCTTTGAATATTTGAAAGGTCAAGAACAAACTTATTTGTATAGGTTGGTAGGTACTAGGTACATACTATTTAATAAGTATTATTATTATGTTAATATTATTCTAAGGCTCTTATTAAATATAAAATTGTATATTTAAAAAAATTGAAGTTTTACATGTTTACTTGAATATTTAAATGGTTCTAAACCTGGAACAGTGCCAAGCTAGTACAAAGGGATTATTGCCTCACTTAACAAATACTACCTCACTATAAAAAATATCATCAATTTTGAACTTAATGTTTTTTTTATATTTTACCTTTTAAAAAAAAATGTATTTTCTAAAGCTAATTCTAACACACCAATATACATAAATGTTTGATTTCATATTTTGGAATTTAGTCAGTTAGATGTTATGATATAGAATTAATGATACTCAGAAAGAACTTTATTCAGGTGACAGGTCAATCATTATAATTTGTGATGTCTTGTTGAATTTTGTTGTTATTGTATACATTTCAGTTTTAAACTGTTGATTAAGTTAGGTTAGCCTAAGAGTTTGAGAGGTAAGTCTTATTAGAAAAAGGTTGTTGGTAAGCAAAATGTTAACAGGCTCAATGAAAATATGCTACACTACTTACTTATTAGGTAGTTGTGTAGGTGGTAGAACCTAATATATATTTTATAAATCAGGTAGGTAGGTAGGTATATAATATTTTTTATTAATTATAGAGTTGTCTATTTAAATGCTTTATTTGAATATATAATTGTACAAACAATTGATTGTTTCTATGCTACGAATAATACTAGAGTAGTATTATAATTAAATCATTTATAAATGTATATCTCAACTTACGCAATATTTATTATTCAAAATAATAGATCTAAATCAAGTCTTTATTTTATAAACATGGATTCTATAATGAGAGCCTTATTTTACTGCTCCATAAATACTAATACACTAAATAGTAATTTTAAAGAAATAGTTTAGAATTTTTTTAATAAAACATTATTTACTATCAAAATTGTATTAAGTTACCTATGCTAGTAATTATACTTATATTTGCTATACAAATATGTGTTAATTAGGTATAATTGATAAATATATTCTACCAAATAATAAAGTTAGTACCTAGTTACAGTTATTATCTAGAATTTTTTTGATATACTAAAACAAAGAATAAAAATTAATTAAATGTTCTTTTCCTTTTCTTAAAAACCTGAGGTACCTACCTACCTAGTTAATGTAATTATTTTAAAACTTATATTATGAGTATCCATTTGTTATTAATATATTGTTATTTATAGGTAAGTTTTAATGTTTAGACCGGAGTCAGATGAAAGAGTATAGTAGATAGGTGGGCATTGGAGTAACGGCTTTGAAGTGAAGATTAAAAAAGGAGGAGCGATAGTCCCTACATTCGTTAATATCGATACAACAGTTATGAGTTATGCTTATGACACTATTGAACAATGTTTGTGTTAGTTTATATTAAACAGAAAAGGTATTTTTGGAGTTAATAATATTAAGTACCTATAGGTACAAGTTTACTCCAAAATAATAGCGGGCTGTCCAGGTTACCCCTACGTATTTAGACACAAATATCTGCGCAGTAAAACACTATCTTAATTACATGATTAGAAAAAAATGTTTAGAAAGAATTAATTAGTGAAATATTTTCAAATGTAATGTAATAAATAATACCTACTATATTGGGCCCTCTATCCTAGGTTAGACTAAGGGAAATATATCTTAATTAGTGATAATATTGTACATTGTATGTACCTACCAAATAAATAAACTACTTAAATATACGATCAAATTGTATCTACATATTGAAATACAAGGTTTTTTTAGGTATTACTTTGGTTGAAAGTTAATTTTAAAAAACCAAAGCACCTACTCAATATTTTGCTTTAACAAAAAAATTCTTTGAGTCATAAATATTTTTTTATTAATAAGTAATCATGACAACAAAAACCTAAAAAAAATCGGTTTGAAACCAAAAATTTTGTATTCAGCCCCAAAACATATTCATGTTAAAATATTTATATTTAATTGCCAGTTACTTCATAATAACATTGATTAATATTTATATTCAATGACAATAATTACCTAGTCGAGTAATTAGTATTTCATTACTAGTTGTTATTAATTTAATAGTTAAAATTAATACAAATATATATAATCTATTCATTTTCCAGGTTTGTTTGGAGAAAATGGAGTATTACCAGCAAAAAATACATTGATTAACGAGAGTCCTAAAGTATTTGATAAATTTAATTTTAAACCTACATTATTATGGTTTTCATCTGAAATTGGTTTGAATGCTGAGTATATGTTTGATGTAATATGCTTGTTCGGGATATTTTTTGCATTCCTTGGGTGAGTTATCTTAGATTATCTTGTAAACAATTTATTAAAATATAATAAATTTGTTGTGTAAAGAATTATGCAATTGTAGGTATGTACACATTATAAACGTTTGTTTGATGTACAACTTTAACTGTGAAGCTTTAGAATAAATTATTTGATCAGTGTTAAGATAACTGTTTGTATATTATAATTTATAAATAGAGCTTGACTGTATATCAAAGCAATAAATAATTTTCTTTTTGAATTCTTAACAGGAAAGTAAACCTAAAGTAAAAGACTTAAAAATTAATATTTTATTATGTATACCTACCTGCTTGTATACAATTACCACGTATTAAACCATTAAATATATTTTTAAATATTTCAAGGCTTTCTTTACAAATAATATTAAGAGGACGCCACACTCGCATGTGTTGTCTCCGTCTTACAAACACATAACACACCATATTTACACTCAGCAGTTCACGTTTTATGCCAATAGCTTAAAAATTAGAGTGAATCGACCTATTATGAAACTTAATGGTAAGAACTTATTCTGTGTTTTGTTAGAAGTTTTTTCATAATAATTCAGTTTTTAAGTGAGTTATGAGCATTTTTAATTTACATTTATTATACAAGTATATCTCACTTTAAACTGAAATATCATAAATAAACTTCCAACAAAACAGATTAAGTTCTTATCATCAAGTTGCATAATAGGTTGATTCAATCTAATTTTTAAGCCAACGGCATAAGACATGAATTGCCGAGCATAAATTTGGTATGTTATGCGTTTGTAAGACGGAGACAACACATGCCGGTGTGGCGTACTCTTAACTTAAATAACAGTGTAATATTAAATTGACCGCACTACATTTAAATAGAGTATATGTCCCACAAACTTCTATATTAAATGAACAACCCAAAATATAATGACAACATAGAAATAGTCTTAAGCTCATCGTGATTTGTATCTGTAAGAATCCATACATCCATAAGTTGCCTATTATTTCAAAGATATATATGCTCATTAGTTTACCATACAAGTTGTGATAATGTAACAATTTGTCTTATTTAATTCTTAGAATTTTGTTATAATATAATGTATAACTCATCCACTTATAGTTTCCTTTTAGAGACTTAAAGCCTATGTTTAAACAGTATGTACTGAATTTAAATTATTGTAGTAAAATATAGGTACTATTGTAGTTCAGATGTCTTTCGAAATACCAAACCTATCATTTTATGATTTGTTTTTGTTTAATACTATTAATAGTATTATTGGTTTAAAAAATAATAGTAAGTAATAGTTAAATAGTACTTACTAATTATAAAAGAGTTACTTCGTATAATATTTTATTGGCATG